TTCAAACGGCTATAAATAACGACCGGATTAACATGTGACCTTGAAATTTTAAATTTTGTCTACGCAATATACTAGAATTGAATTTTCATAATTATTTTAACATTATGAGTGCATTTTAAAATGAGACTTATAAGCGCCTTAAATTCGATTTCAGACCACTGTGCGATCACGAGCGTACTCTACAATCGAGGGATGAGGGATGGCCGTGTGGCTACCCTCCGTGAAACCCGAAGGGCTCTCGCTACCATGCCGGTGGTCCCGCGGTCTGTGCCGGTGGAGGGTGGTGCCTCCTTTCCGCAGCGCCCTGTTACCACTGGCGCGGTGGTGCAGCGATCAGGACGGCGATCGTCCCGCTCCTACACCCTACACACGGGACGTCGGAGGTAGCGCATCAACAGGGCTTTCAAAGAGAGGAAAGACCGGGAGAGAGAAGCGGCCAACTGTCCACCAACTACACCGGCGCCTCCAATGCCCGCGCCAAGGACCCGTCCACCATCACTGTCGGAGATCGTGCGACACTCCTCCACAGCAACAAGCACCACAGCTGGATCGACCCCCATGGAAATCGAGGACGCCGTGGACGATTTGGGACGCGCCGTGCACGGGTTCCTTTCAGACTCTCCTTCTCCTCCCCGTTTCCATCGTGAAACCTCATCGTCCCGTATAATCCGCCGAGGAGTTTCCTTCTTTTTTTTTCCCATTCGGTCCTGACGTCATCCGTAGATTACGGATAACCGGACCGAATAGTCCATTCCCTCTGGCCAACGAGACTGAAGGTTTCAGTCTAATACGGTAAGTGTTGAACGCAATATCAATTGTTTAAACTTATAACTACTGTGTATGATGCGACAATTTGTCTACAAATATCGTTTCCGACGTTGAACTTAACTGGTTTGCCTTTTTCTTGTGTGCTGTTTGTGTTTCATGGTTTTTCCGTTTTTTTTTTTTTTGGATTGCGGCGAGTGTGCTCATTACCGATATCACCGACGACAGAAGGGTAGTTGCCCATTGTTACATAGGTATATGATTGTTCGAATTAAGGAAAACATCTAATATTATAAGAATCAAATATTGTCTTCCGACGTTGTTTCTTTGTTTTTACTGTTGTGCTTGTATAAACATATATACACATAGACATAAATATAATATATATATATATATACATATATACCTTGAGTGCCGTACCATTTGGATACGCGTTAACATTTAATGAAAATATTGTTAAAAAATGAAAAAAGTTATTCCTTTTTAAATTTCAACTTTTAAACTATGCTTTGCTCACAAAAAATATTTAAATAAACTTGCATTCATGGTAAAATGCTTTTTTGCAAAATTCAGAATTATGCTTAAAATATTTCATTCATATATACCCTATTCTTTTAAAATTACTCTGCTTTTTGTGTTTAATTTTTATAAAGTTAGATGTTTTAATTATTTGTATTTATTTTTCAGACGAAATAATGAAGTATCTAGTGAAGAAAATGAATCTAGTGAAAGTCAATCTGATGTTGACGATATTGAGAGAAGCGGCCAACCGTCCACCAGCTACACCGGCGCCTCCAATGCCCCTCTTGCCAACGAGACTGAACGTTTCAGTCTAATACGGTAAGTGTTGAACGCAATATCAATGACCACACACACAAGGAACATGGCGGTAAGTCAACAATTGTTAATTACTTATAACTACTGTGTATGATGCGACAATTTGTCTACAAATATCGTTTCCGACGTTGACCATAACTGGTTTGCCTTTTTCTTGTGTGCTGTTTGTGTTTCATTGTTTTTCCGTATTACTCTGCTTTTTGTGTTTAATTTTTATAAAGTTAGATGTTTTAATTAATTGTATTTATTTTTCAGACGAAATAATGAAGTATCTAGTGAAGAAAATGAATCTAGTGAAAGTCAATCTGATTTTGACGATATTGAGAGAAGCGGCCAACCATCCACCAGCTACACCGGCGCCCCCAATGCCCCTCTTGCCAACGAGACTGAACGTTTCAGTCTAATACGGTAAGTGTTGAACGCAATATCAATGACCACACACACAAGGAACATGGCGGTAAGTCAACAATTGTTAATTACTTATAACTACTATGTATGATGAGACAATTTGTCTACAAATATCGTTTCCGACGTTGACCATAACTGCTTTGCCTTTTTCTTGTGTGCTGTTTGTGTTTCATTGTTTTTCCGTGTTACTCTGCTTTTTGTGTTTAATTTTTATAAAGTTAGATGTTTTAATTAATTGTATTTATTTTTCAGACGAAATAATGAAGTATCTAGTGAAGAAAATGAATCTAGTGAAAGTCAATCTGATGTTGACGATATTGAGAGAAGCGGCCAACCGTCCACCAGCTACTCCGGCGCCTCCAATGCCCCTCTTGCCAACGAGACTGAAGGTTTCAGTCTAATACGGTAAGTGTTGAACGCAATATCAATGACCACACACACAAGGAACATGGCGGTAAGTCAACAATTGTTAATTACTTATAACTACTGTGTATGATGCGACAATTTGTCTACAAATATCGTTTCCGACGTTGACCTTAACTGGTTTGCCTTTTTCTTGTGTGCTGTTTGTGTTTCATTGTTTTTTCGTGTTACTCTGCTTTCTGTGTTTAATTTTTATAAAGTTAGATGTTTTAATTAATTGTATTTATTTTTCAGACGAAATAATGAAGTATATAGTGAAGAAAATGAATCTAGTGAAAGTCAATCTGATGCTGACGATATTGTAAGTTTTAATTCTGTAGATGATTTTTTTTTACAATTCATTTCTTTAAATGAATACAAAAATTATATATTTATTTTTAATTTTTACTTATGATACGACCCTATTTGGGTACATATCTCATATGCCTGTTAACAGTAACCCAACATTTTAATTAGTACATATCACATTAGAAAAAACTAATTAAAGTATAATGGATTCAAATAATAATAAAATAAAATAAAATAATAATCTATGGATTCAAGATATGTTGAGAATGTCCATCAGGGAGATGACAATGTGCTATAAACATCATGAGAATTATAATTTTTTAAATCACAATTAAATAATAATAATAAGCTCAAATAATATTAATTAGTTGTATAACATTCATATGGTAGGTCTCAACTGCTTGTTGCACTACATTTTCACAAACAGTTTTCTGTAAGAATGTGTATATTAACATTGTCAGCGGGTCCCTGTATATCTATCTGTAATAAGCATGAATGCTGACCAAGCTGTTAAATGTTATTGACTGAACCAAGATTTGTGCACAAAATGTGACCGTATCACTTATTTAAATCCAATTTTTTTAATTATTAGTTGATTTATTTTAGCTGAAAAGTGAAAAAGCATCAATAAAGCGTTTTCTAAATGCTAAATTTGATAAATTTAATGAAATAATTAATCAAGCATCAAAAAAAGTTAAAAAATTGAAAAAAACAGTTCTAAAAGTAAATATATTTTAAGTAAAAATAACTTAACAGTTATATAACCAGTGGTTAATACATATTGTATTATTTTCACACAATAATAATTTTTTAATTAACATTTACTATAATTAAAAAAATGTATATATAGATTGTATTAGTTTTTAAATTAGTTCTAAAATCATGTTTTATTAACCTATATTTTTGTATTAAATCATATTAAAAAAAATTTTTTTCGCAGCATAAACTCGCTAATAATGAATTAACAAGAAAGAATTTAGATTACGAAAATACTTTAAAAATACAACAAGGTGATTATATAAGTATATATATTGTTATTAACTTACTTTATTTAATTTTACACCTGTTTAAGCAAAGTCGCATGATATTCTTAGTACATAACATGAAATATACTGTGTCTTAATCTATTTACCTGACTTATTTACCTGTATAAAATATATAAGTGAATAACCTATGAATTCCATTTATTTATTTTTTGGATGGAGTTCACGTAATGGGGTTTAAATTAATTTTGGGCTTATATATTACTATTGTATTAAATTAAACATTAGAAACATTGGTAACAAAATCATGTCCATATGGTCATTGATTTTTAAGTAATTATCAAAAGCAGTTACATATAAACATACATTTTTGTTTATAAAACATTAAATTTTTTTATATTATAACAATTATAATCCAAATCTCTAAGAAAAATATAATTTATAATGCATTGTCATGTGTGGTTTTAATTGATTTTTATAAATATGTTAGAAACATCTTCATCACGTTTTAAAATTAATAAATCTTATTTCTTTTATTAAATATTTTGATAAGAAATAATATTAATTAAAAAATAAAACACCTATGGATTTAAGACATTTTTGAAAAAATTAATTTATCTTAATTTTCCTAAACTTTCAATTGCATTAAGGCTAATGTTAAATTACATTAAAAAGAGGTATTTATCAAATTATTATCATTTGTAATTCTATTTTCTAGATAAAATTTTTAAGTTAAACTTTGTTAAGTCATTTAATAGCTTCAACATACTTTAATTATTATCTTTTTTTTTTTGAGAAGTTAATTTTTTTGTTTGAATTATTTTTCTAGATCAATTATCAAAAATTGAAGAAACGATCAAAGAAAAGATTTATAGTGTTCTAGAAAGTGATTTGCAATGTTCCATTTGTAATGAATTAATGGTTAAGGTATTATTTTTACATTTATATCCATTAATAGTGTGAATATAACACGTCATCTTGTTAAAAGTTCTTAGCAAATTTATTATGTTAATTTGATTAAAAAATGTATTATGGAATACTTTTTAATCAATTTTAAGATTGTTAAATATTATAAAGTGATAGTAGATATCTGAAAACTTTTTGAACTTTCTAATCCTAGAATTTTAAATAAAATTTCTGAAAAGTAAAGCTAAAATATTTTAACTAAAAAAATTATTTCTGATGAAAATTTCTTCTTTATTAGTTGAAAAAGTAAATAAATGTGTTTAAAAATCAATTATAAAATTCATATAGTAAAATCTAGTAAAGTAATTTAAAATGCTTTTCTTTAGGTAAATGTACATATTTTTATTTTGAACTAACAATTAATATGATTGCTAAACATAGAAAGACACAAATTTTCATTTTAAAATAAAATTTGCTTAATTGTCTAAGATAAAAAACGATTTTACAATTACTTCATTTACTTACATTTACATTACTTTACCATGATGTGTCACATTTTAAAGTAAATTTGTTTGTTTATGAAAATAAAATGCAATTTAGGTAAAATGAAAAATGATACTATGTCATTGTCTATATATTATTATTTTATAATTTAGTAACTTTTTTTATCCAAAATGTAAATTTTGTTTTTGATAAATTAGCTTCTAAGAGACTGAAAAAAAATTCACATACTTAATAATTATTCCAACAAAATTATTTTATTTTAGAACTTGAGTTTGGAGTTTAAATAAAACATATTTTATCTCAAAATTGTAGTAATACAAAAATAAGCAAAAATGTTGTTGTTTGGGGTATTTTATTTGACTATTGTTGGATATTTGGGGATTTGGTCAATTCAGGAGCAACGAGGTTCTATCAGGGTTGTAGAGTCCGAGGGTTTAGAATAGTAAAGACAAGTAGATATAAAAAGATACTTGATATCGCTTTAAAATGTACCGACGAAAACACAGTGATTTTCAGTTTATTGTATAAAATTTGAACATAACATGATAATTATTTTAAGATAAGATGCATAGTATACAGTAATCAATTTAACATGTGTATACATATGTAATAGTTAGTGCACAAATGTGTATATGTTATGACAGATAAATTAATTATTTGTTTGTATACAATTGGTATTAAATATTGATATATTGAATATAATTATATTATTAATTAAATATTAAATATTGATAAATGTAAGATGCGTAATGCAGAGCATTGTGCATATTACGACAAAATTTTAGTTCAAGAAAACTTGAATTTTACGCATCCATAAATTAGATTAAAAAAATGGTTTTGAATACCTCATTATCATTGGGAAATAAATAAAATTTAGTCATAAATTGTGAAAATGAATATTTTATATAAAATTTAATATGTAAATTTGTTTTTTTTTTAGGCGTGTACAATTAATTGCAGCCATACATTTTGTGAAATTTGTTTAAATACTTGGTTGAGAGAAAATAATGTGTGTCCTCTTTGTCGAACTTCAGTTCAAACCGAAACCCTAAGTCTATGTATGGATAACTTTATTACTAATATTTGTAATGTTCTTGGGAATGAAATAAAAGAACATCGGGAAAATATACAACAAGAAAGTAAGTATATTTTAACATTTATTAACTTATATTTATTGTTATAACTATTTTTAGGATTGGCAGCTTATAGCCCACGAGTACCACAAATGGCTTGGAGAGGTCGTAGAAGAATAGGTATACGTCGAAATATATAACCTGCACATGTTCAATGAGAAATAATGCAAAGAATTCATGAAGTAAATTTATTATTATTATTATTATTATTATTATTATGCGTATAATGTTCACCAAATCGTTTCCACAGGCACCAACACCGCCAGCGACGACGTTTCCTCCGAACGGTCCAGCATTACCAACATCAATGTCCACCGGGTGAACAATTTCAATCTACAGGGTGCCAACTTCTATTGTTACAATTCAGGATAACTCAGCTACGGAACCTGGCGTGTTGTGTACGCGATACTTACAATGTATACATACACATATACGCGTTGTAAGGAGTATTTGAAAAAGTGAACGAATTAATACCGTCTCACATTCCATAACCTCAATAGTTGTACAGTAAAGTTGTGTGTTTCTTAACTGTAAAATAAAATAAATTTTCTTTATAATATAAAATTTATATTACTGTAAATTAAGCTCTATAATGTCATTAAGTAATAATAAGGTTTGTTATAAATGTAATCTAGGATTTGCCGAACTTGATTATCCTATCAAAAGTGATGGCTGCAAACTGTCTGTACATAATAAGTGTTCTGGTTTAGCAGTGAGTGAAATTAAATGTCTAACATTAAAAAATCGTAGTTTGAAATTCTTTTGTGTAGTCTTTTATAATGGTTTAAGTGAACTCCCCGAACTGAAATTAATTATCAACCGTTTAATTACTGAAGTAAACGATCTTAAAACTCAAAAAACACTGTTTATACATCAGAAAATTCTGAAGAGTTCATAATCAACGAAATAAGTGAGCATAACATGAGAGCGTCAAATTTAATTCTATACAATGTTCCAGAGTCCAAGTCAGATAACAAAACTGATAAAATTGTGCAAGACTCTAATTTGGTATGTAATGTTATCAGTTCAATAAGTAGTGGTGAAAATATTATTAAACCTTTAAAAGTTATCCGATTGGGTAACCGTGACCAGAATAATACTCGCCCGATAAAAGCTATATTTGCTTTACCAGCTGAAGCGTTTGATATCTTAAAATCTAAGAAAAAATTGTTATCATTACAACCGCCATCTATTATTCGAATCAGTTCGGACCGCACGCTGCATCAAAGGAATTATATGAAAAAACTCCGCTGTGAATTGGAGACTTGTAAAAATAATGGCGAATCTGATCTAATTATTAAATATGTGAAAGGAACACCGAAAATTGTTATAAAAAATAACCGTTCAGTAAATCTCCGAAATGATAATTTTTTATAATTAATATTTTTTTTCAAAATGTTCGTGGTCTATTAACAAAGATAATATTTTTACGAAATGCCTTATTAAATGTGAATTATGATATAGTTTGTTTAAATGAAACATGGTTAAATTATAATATTTTTGATGCGGAACTTGGTTTTAATAATTATAATTTATATAGAGATGATCTTAATTTGTCGTACGGTAAACTGCGTGGTGGTGGTGTGTTAATTGCAATAAATAAAAAAATATGTTGTGAATTATTAAATGTTTCTCTTGTAACTGGAATCGAACACTTATTTCTAAAATTCACTGTAAATAAAATAAAAATAGTTTTAGGTTATGTGTATATTCCACCTGATGCAACTATTTAAATGTATTCTAAACAATGTGATGTTATAGAGTCTATATATTTTGACTATCCTTATTATCATTTTATTATTACTGGTGATTTTAATTTAAATAGCTACGATTGGTCTATCGAATCCAGTATTCAAGGTAATGTCTCTGGAGATATACTATATAATTCTTTTGTAAATCTTTTAAATTTAAAACAATGTAATTACATTAAAAACTCTTTAGGTCGTACTCTTGATTGTATATTTCTTAGTTCTGATGTAGAACTAATTTTCCAGTGTTTATGATACTGACTCAAGAATTATTAATGAAGAGTCCCAAGAAAATTAAAATACGTCTTTAATGAATAATATAAATGTTAATTTAAGCTCAATGTCTATTGATCAAAATGAAATTCAAGAGTTATTCAATAATTTATATATGAATGCGAGTATATATATATATAGAGGGTGATTTTTTTATTATAACCCACTCAATTACTTACAGAATAATAATAATTAAAACATTTTTTTTTATTACTATCTTTAGTTACACATTATTCTTGAATTATTAACTATGTAATACTTTTTAAGTTCATCCCTTATGCCTGGTAAGGGTGTCAACTTTGTTTTTTTAAATGGTAACAAATATTTTTAATTTAATAAAATGTTTGAGTTTTTAATTTAATAACAAATGTCATTTGAATTTTTAATATAACTTTATTCGTTTATTAGATATAAACATTTAAAGTTTCAATTTTTTGAGTTAATATATAGGTATAATACACAAGGGATTACAAATACAGGTAGCTAATTGATTTTTTATGATATTGCTATAACAGTCACGGATTGTTTATTATCAATTATTACTATCAATAGATATACATTCTGTATTGTCAGTTAGTGTATTTATAAACTCACAACAATGTGTCTTACTACCATTAATAATAACAATGATTTGTACCTGCTAATATCGATGTCATAAAAAACCAATTAGCTAACTGTAATTTGTAATTGCATTGCGTGTAGCTAACCGCACGAACAATCAACTATAGTTGCACACACAACTTTCACCACCGAAAAACGACACAAAAGATAAAATGTAAATATTCACAAAAAAACGCAACGAACCAGTTAGGTGTACTTCGTAAAACAGCACAGAACGCAATCTCCGTAATCCATATTCGGCGGCGGCCTTATCTCAGTGTCAAGGGCGGGGCGACAACCGATTGTCATATTAATAGCTGGACGGCTGATATCGAGAGAGACACGGGCGAGCACTAGCCTAGAGCAAAAGGCGGTGCCGTGTCAGTATCGATATCTTGTTGTCACCAAAAAGTGTTGTAGACCCCTCTGGATTTATATAACCAAGCTCATTTTCTATTCTACGAATCCAGCAAATATCATCAATAGACACAATTACAGCTCGATATTTGACTTCAGACGTTGACTTTTGGACCTCCTCTTAAAATGAGTATACCACTGGTTGAAATATGAGCAACAGGTTGACCAGCATAATCAACATCACTATAAGCAAAAATTTTATCATTTCGATTAAAGAGTATTCCATATAGCATTGTACTCTTGAAATACTGAAATATACGTTTTACTACTTTCCAATGACTTTGCATAGGTTTGTTGCAATAACGACTCAAATAACGTACAGCATAACTTATGTCTGGACGAGATATTGTAGATATTATAGTCTCTTGTATTTACATACTTAAATATGTAAGTTTATTTTAGTGTCTTTTATCAAATTTTTGACATTTCATCAAGCTATACCAGCTTTACCAGCTAAGAGTCCATCATCAACAAATAACGCAATTATTATACTTCTGTCATTGTTATAATAAACACACAGATCATCATTAGTATCATTAAACTCCATTGTCTTCAAGAAATTTGTAATTTTATCATTCTAATTTTTAGAAGCTTGTTTCAGGCCATATAGACTTTTGTTCAATTTACAGACACGGTTTGTATTATCATGAAAACCTTCAGGTTGATACATAAATATATCTTCTTTTAAATTACCATATAAAAATTCTGTTTTGACATCAAATGTCATTAATTTCATACAATTAGATGCAGCAAGACTTAAAAGCAGTCCAATTGATACATAACGAGCTACTGGACTAAATGTATCAGTATAATCAATACCTTTCTTTTGTTCAAAACCTCTGATAACAAGTCTGGCCTTGTATCGACAATCTTGCTTTTTACGTAATATTAACGACAAGTAAGCGATTTGATGTTATTTAGCAGTTTAACCAAATTCCGTGTATTTATTTTTACAAGTGACTTAAATTCTTCTGTCATTGTTTTTCTCCATTTTTCATCATTAAACGCTTCAGAAACAGAGATATCTTCAACCTCACATATCTTAGCCATATCTAACTTGTTAATTGAAACAAAATTCATAATCATTCAGTTTTTCAGGCTTCTTCAAGGTTTTACGTTGTCGTAGATTTGAACGATTGAACTTTTTCTTGATATTCTTCACTTTTGCTTTCATCGTTAGAACTTGCTGAATCTGATTCTCTTCCTGAATTTGCAGTTTGACTTTCATCAAATATAATTTCCATAATTGTTTGATTTTTGTCTGTCTTTTCATCAAAAATTACATTATCTGAGCTTGTGACATCCTATCTGCCTGACAGATAAATTCTATAACAAGGAGTGTCCAAGTCATATCCAACAAGTATTCCTTTCTCTGATTTCTTATCAGTTTTAACTCGTTTATGATAATTTTGTTAAGGAGTATAAACATTTGAATTGGAATGAAATACACCAAGTTTATTCAATAATNATAGTTATTATTGTGGTCTTAGTTAATCATTTGAATGCATTAGCATCGAGTGTATTGTATAAGAACAAAACGATTATTTATGGTATACCGCCGCAGTAAGTTAATCACAGAAAATATAAACATATGAGAATTGTGAGTTATAATCATTACAATTAGTTTTTTGAACTTTACATACTTTTATTAAAATTCCAGGTAGGTATTAAGTCTCCAATGACTCGATAGTACTTCGAGGATGGATATCAGACGTCAATTTACGGTACTTTCTTTTTCAAAAATATTAGAATACCAGATTTGATCACGTATTTACGGTGGTATCCTCTGTAGACTAGACGCAACCCTAAAATTACGTGTACCATGACAATAAATTCCGTTTAAATTATTGACCACCCACAGGGCTGTAATACAGTGTCGCGGTTGGGTTATATATAGTAATACTCGGTGTCCTGAGACCCTCGGAGGGGTTTGACCTGGATAGTGTAGGATCAATTCATATAACTTATTATATCCGCATTTCAACACTTTTAATCTTAGCAATAGGGAGCACATGAATAATTGTAAAATGATACAAAGAAAAAACATTTACACTAAAGGCAGTTCACACAAAACTATTGAAAAGAAAAACAAATTTGTTAATTACACTTGAGTCCAATCCTTAATCGGATTACCGAGTAATTTAGATTTTTTTTTTCATAAATATTATAGAAAAATCAAAACATTAATAGTTAAGTATGAAATATCTTATGGTAAAACTATTTGATAGTTAACGATTCGGTTAAGAATTTGACACAAACTTATTGCTGTGTTTGTTACGGTCCACCGTTTTCGCTAACCGCTTGAAAATGTAAAAGGACCAACTGTTTTTACGTTTTATTTTTCTCGTGAAATCTAATAAATTATTAATAACATTATGATCACGGTAGTAATGGTTTTTTTCGGAAATACTTAAGTGCATTTCATTCGTGACGCGCATTGGTTTTGTATATATCGTGCCAAATAATGTACTTACTTTTTATGAGCTACTAGTGTATGAATATCATTTCTCACGAAATAATAGCAAGTTCTTCGATTAGTTTTATTTTCTGAAGATTTTTGTGTCGTTATGTTGTTACAAGAGAATATCAAAAATAGTATTACAATTTTTTAGTTGGGTTGGGTTTATATTCACACTTGGGATATTTTTTTCATTTGTATATCATGTTAATAAAAAAAGGGTTTATTAAAATGTTTTCTCTTTTATATTTGTTGATATTTGTTACTTAAAGAAATGTAGCACACCGGATCAATTAACACCTCTGATCGAAATTTTATTAAAATTTTACTTGTTTATAAATATTCCTAAAATATCTTAGTTTTAAAATAGTAAAAAATTTAAAAAAAAGTAAAAATTCTTATTATCACGATCGATGATAATATTTTGGTGGTATATATAGTTCATTAGTTTCAGATAAGATAAAAATTTAACACGCAATAATTTAATACATCAAATAATTTTATAGTATTTTTACAATATATTTGTGTTAAGTTTTAAAGAAATTACAAGTTTAACTAAAATTTTTTCTGTATTTATTGTAAAATGAAACTAATATTTTGTTACTAGAGTTTTAAAATTGTATTTCAAATTATATAATTGTAAATTAAAATTTTAATTGTCTGTACAATAGTCCAACTATGATGGAATTTCATAAAGTTAGTTTCAATTATTTATTTTGAATAAATAGAATGTTGAATTCTTGTTTATCAATAGAATATTTGTGATAAATTGTATTACTTTTTAGGAGCTGTTTTCATGTTCTAAATCAAAATTAAAAATAAATTATGAATTTTTAAATAATGACTAAAAAAATAATATTAGAAATTTTATAAAAGGTTAAATTTAATCTTATTTAAATATAATATACTTTCGTATAAAATATAATTATACCTTTTACATTTTCTTCCTGTGTTTGTATTGTAGAAGAATTGTCAGGAAAATTATTTAAATTGTGTTCTCTAAAAAAAAAAAATATTAAATCAGCTTGTAAACTACAAATATCATGTTTGGAAAATTATGTTAAGCTTAAAAAAAATTTTGGGAACTGAGAACAAGTCATTTTCTGTTACGTTCAATGATTTTTGCTACGCTTATTTTCAAAACTTTTATCACGCAACGAAAATATGTTTTATAATTGTTTGTATTAAAATGTTGCTTTCGTNATTTGTTTATGCTTTCGTAATATTTAGAGTAAAACACATTTTTTCAGGCACCTTTTAGTTGAAATAGCAATTTGATATATTGTACAATATCAATTAAAATTATGTGAAGTATAAAATAATCTTGTACCTTGATTAAAGATAGTTGGATGACCTGGTAAAAAAGTCTCGTTGGTCTCTTTGTTGCAATCGAATCCTAAACCAAAATATTTATCTTGAATAGTCGACTGCATTAAATTAGCGATTTTATTACCAAGAAAATGATAAAACGGTTTTTTTATTGCTGTCGATTTCTGTTTATTAAATTCATCTTCCCAATTTTCCCATAATGATTCATAATTTAGGCTTTTAAGTTTACAACGTTGTTTTATATCTGTATTTACTTCTTTGTTTATTCGCGTTAAGACTTTTTCGATCGTTTTTAGTTTTTCTTCAATATGAAAATTTTTTTGTATTGGAGCTAGATTATTTATATTTTGTGAATTAAAGCTATTTTGTATGTCGGCAAACACATTGCTCAGGAAATAATAATTCTTAACATGTGTCCACCATGGCACACTATGGAACTTTTCAATAGTGTCCATAGCACCTTTCATTAATGTTGCCATCCAATGTATATTTAGTAGTGTATCTTTAACTTCAATGAAGCAGTTGTACGCGTATTGATCGAAGTCATTTTGTATGATAATTTCCTTGCAATGATTTTGAAAACGATTAATCATATATAAAACCTCTTGTAACACATATGCGTAAGAACATCCAAGGTAAACGGTTGTACACCGAATTTGAGTATCATCATAATTTATATTACCTTTAAGTACATCTAATAATGTGTACCTATAATTCCAATAGTTTATTTTTTCCACGTCATTTAAATTTCGCCATCCAGGTTGTGACAATAATTTATTGAAAACATACTTTTTATTATTTTGCATATTGATTGCTCTAATTTTCAAAAGCACGGATAAAATCAAATAATACATTTTATAGTATGAGAATTTTGAAATTTTCATTTTTTTTGTTATAATTTCTTGTTGTTAAATTTTTGTATTTTTTATAATAAAACTTCTTGTGAAATACGTTTACAAACTGTTATATTATTAACATTATAGTTTTTTACTAGCAGTTCTATAAGATAATATGGTAATATCTATTGACTTTGTTCGTAGGTTAGCATAATTTACACAATTGCGCTATTAAAAATAAACCATAATATACGTAAATTAAAATATGATGTATAATCAGAGGTGTTGTGGAGCGTATACGCGGGTATACGGCGTATACCCACTTCTTTGTTTTTCTGTTATTGCGTATACTTATAAAATCATAAGTGATACGCGGGTATACGGCGTATATCCACTGTTAGTTTTTTTATTAGTGCATATACGTATTTATAAAATAGTTAAAGAGTATAGACTAAAGAATAAAATAAAAAGTAATACGTGGGTATCGAATATAGGTACGTTTGTCATAAAACACAAATTTTGAATAACTCTTATCAGTTTGTTTAATCTTTACAGTCATACCTAGGGATGTCAACGATATATCGATAAGTTAAAAATATCGATATGTTTGGTCGATATATCGATACATTTTTATCGATAAATTTCTTCGATAAATTTTCATTATCGTTAAAATCGTTCGATATATCGGTAATATCGATAATCTTGTTTTTACTACTTGTTTTATAAAATTTCTATCTTATCAATAAGTATTTTTTTCATTTGTACCAATCAATAAAAAGAATTATAAGCAAATTTGATATGAATTGTATTTTATGTTGGTAACTTCTATTAATAAGGACACAAACTTAGTATAACGGATTTGAAGCTATGATATCTGTTATTACAACGGTATCTTATATTGGGTCGCATTTTAAATTAAGCATTACAATAATTATGTTATTAAATATATTTATAACTGTTATTATTATTATCATGATAAATTTGTGTCTATTGTGGATTATTAAATCTCAACATTTTAAGATTTTTTTTATTTACGTCTACCTTTTTGCAAATATTACAAAAAATACAATACTATTTGTTAGTTGTTAATATCTTTAAGTATTATTTCAATTTCATTAACAATACAAGTATTAAATAATACGTTGATAATGAACATATGATATTTTAAGTTAATTTTATGCATAATTGGGTTTGATTTTTTGTTTCTACTGTAGTAAAAACATTTAAATAGATATGTCGCAGTTTTTTTTTTTTTATCGATATAATGACAGAATATCGATACTTATCGATAACAAAGTTACGACATTTATCGTAATCGATAAAAGTAAGATTTTTTATCGATAATTAGGATATCGATACTTTGGTCGATATTGACATCCCTACTCACTATTATTGACACACGTGAACGCAGATTAATTTTAACTGTGGATAGAAAATCATGTTTAGTGTATTTTAATGTTATTTTTCAAGTATTAAAATATTAGTTAGCTAAGGTAAATTTTTAAACTAAATATTTTAAAAGTACTAATAGAAGTTTAATATACCTCACATTTATTTTTAATAGATTTGGTTACAAAGTTTTACAATCGTTTTCGTATCATACTTCATAGCAGGGAAGAGACGATAAAAATGAAAATTTTCAATCAACCTCGCATTTTGCTCTTGATAAGATGAAAAAAACATTTTTTAGTATTAAACTAGATATAGATGAAGCTCACATGCAAATTTCAGATATTAAATCCATTCACAGAAGTCATGAAAAGTCGTATAAGCTTAATCTTGTCATCTTACTTCGTTTTCATCTTACAGAAATTCATTATTAATACGAACAAAATAATTAGTCTTATAAATAATTATTGTTTATGACAAGGAAAAATTTATCAGATTGATAAATAATAATTTATTAATGTTGGAATTTTTATCAATATGAAAATATGATACAGATTTAATTATTGAAAAATATTTAATTATTACGACAAAAAAATGAAGATTTTTTGAATAAATCGTTATTTGAAAAAATAAAATGGCTGATGTTTTGATGGTGCATTATCCAAAAATAATTAAAGAGTAAGGGACACTGAGACATTTTTGATGCTTTAGGTTTGGAGGTAAACTTAATGAATTTAAAACATATGCACGAGTATTTCATCTAGACACAATGTTACATTAACGCTACCTAAAAAACTTCAAATAAGATTTGCAGGTTAAACATTTATTTAAATCACTATCATTTGAAAACAAACTTTTAATTAAAATTGGTATGAACCCAGCAGATAATGAGATTTTTATCTCATTTTGAATGCATAACTTCAATGAATATCGAGGACTCCACCACTGTAGTCTCCCTTTGTGAGAAGTAATTTCATATGATTATTTAATGTTTAATTTCATATTATATATAAGAATAATAAATAATAAATTCTTATATTATATATAAGAATNGTATAATGTTTAAAATAAACAAGAAATTTGTTGCGCATATATCAAAAGATAACTTTTTTCTTACAAATGTTTATATAAATAAATACATTAAAAATAAAATGATCACTGCAAGCTATATTAGCCATATTAGGCAGTATGACATTTGATCTTAATACACTTTTTAATGGCCATTTCTGTTCTTAAAAGATTTTGTACTAATTTCAATATTAAAAATTTTATATTTATTAATTGTGTAAAATTTGAAGTCATATTTCTATATTAATCATGTCTATAATGTTTTGATTAAGCATTATTTTTTATAATACGTATAATATAAACCTTTTAATGAGTTTTTATAAGTTTCATGCCTTTATTATATTGTTTTATAATGTTAGTTATAATTGTTCAATCATTTTATAGAGAGGACTTATAATGTTACCTGATTTCCAATATGTCCTAGCACATCCTGATATATTGACTGAATTAACTGCTATCCGAGGATTATTAAGGAGACGTTATCCAACTCTTCAAAATGGTTTGTTATAGATATTTATTCTACCAACTTGTAATGATCCATTGAAGTATACTTAATTTAATAGTTTCTATAATAACACTTTTATATTCAGGGATAATACTTTCACTTACCATATTTCCATAATATGGTAATTAACTGTATATATTACATTAACTATATATTGTAATATATAAAATTGTAATAGTATTTATTAGTATATTATTTTATGTTATTTACTAGCATTAATATATAAAATTTGATTGTTAAAAATTTCAGTTCAAGTTTAACATAAGATTGTAGCGTTACGCTACGGCTTTATCATTGGTTGACAGTTGCAAGAAAGTCCACTGGACAGCGCTGTTTGACAACCCTTATTCAAATATGTAAATTAAAGTATTTATTTATTTATTTATTTTTTATTATTTTTTATTATATTTATTGTAATGATTATTTTATATACCAGTCTTAGCGAGAACTCGAAAATAGGAAATTAGAATATTCTTCTGTTTTTGGAGGGTTTTTAAAAATAAATAATATGTGGGCAATTGTGTTCTACACTACTCCGGTGGTGACGAGTAGCATAAAGTACACCGTCACTACTTGCATACTTATTACTAAAAATTCTAATAGTTTTTTTAGTTCTTCGTTTTACTAGTGTTTGCAGTATTTATTGCCATCTACTCTTCATCATTTCATTTTTTCCATCGAGTAAGTTTTCTTTATTTTTTCCTTATTACATATATAATTTTCAACGGTGTTCGTAACTAAGTGTTACCAACCGTGATCAAAATTATATATTTCTTTTCTTTAAAGGCAAGTCATAATCTTCAACGGTGATTATAACCATCGTGTTATCAACCGTGATCGAGATAACTGTCTTTTTGTAAAAATCCCTTTAACCTTTTGCAACGGTGTTCGTAACTACTCGTTACCAACCGTGATCCAGAGGGTTATACTTCTACTTCACCCCAAATTAAATAGTTTCTAAAATAAGACTGATATAGTAGTTAGTTTATTAATATATGTATATATTCATCTTTATAAAAAATAAATCAGAACAAATCGATTAGTCGAACAAATTGTGTTGTATTTTCATATTTAAAGAGAACAAACGTAGAAACGTTTCAAGATATTTTTGTAGATTAACTTTTTAATTAAATTAATAATTGAAACTATTAAACATAAACATAATGTAGGGTATCAGTAACAGTCAACAGTTCCCAGTTTTTGGCAATTTTTATATATGTTACAGAGTCTCTTTTAAGCTTGAAAAAGTAGGTTTTTTTTCATATTAACTATCATAGTATGTTAAAAATATTGATTAAAAATTTAATAAATGATTTATTAAATATTAAACTGATGGAAAGTAATGGAAAACATTTGCAAAATTGTTTAATTAATCATTAAATTTTTATTTAAAAATTTAAATCTTTAAATAATCATTATTATGAATTGATCTTTCAGGTGCATTAACACTTAATTTGATATCCATGATTAAACTTTACATGAAAGGTGTCAGATATAATATGACAGTTGATCCATATGATGAATCATTAGGAGTTGTAGAAATGAAAATTGGCCAAGTATAATATTATATAAAATGTGTGTTATTAAAAATGACTTTTTTTGTACCAAGATTTCAGATGAGACTGATCATTTAGTAGAAAACTTAAAAACATTGTTTAGAGACGTAATAACAAGAGCTCCTAAGAAAAATGAATCATCTCCCTTCATAACAAGGTACAATAATTTATATTCTTTGCATTGTATTGTGAATAAATAAAGAAACTTCAAATTAATTTTAAATTTGATAGGTGTTTAGCACAAACACCGTCTTCAAGAGAGAAATTTAACATAGACTTATCCCCATACTCAAATTCTCACGAAGAAGAGGATTCTGAATCTGATTCAGATGAAGAAGAAGAAATAAAAAAAACACAAAGAGCTTAAAATATAAAATTGTTAAAACTTTAGAATTTTGTTAAGTGTGAAAAATATTTAATAAAAAAATATCTAGATATAGTTATCATTTTTATATGTGTGTATATTTGCATTTACATGAATCTTGAAAGTATCTAAACATTGTTTTTGGAACATGATCATATTGAGGCAATAAATAGCTTTACACATCCATCTAACCAAAGGGTAAGTGCCAGGTTTTTGAAAATTAATAACTTTTAGTAGTGTTCCACCTAAATAAATGATCACAATCTCCAAAAACTCACTGTAGTCATTTTTAGTTCCATTTTTATTTAAAGTTATATTACAGAACGACAAAATGTTATCTGTTACACTTAGTTATGAGTTTTTTTAGTTCTATATCACCTGAAAATACACAAAAAGTTTGATAAATTTCATTCCACTAGTTTTTAAATTTTTAAAAAATTGTAATATCTAGATAAAACATAACTGTAAATTTAGAATTTAAATTTATCGTTTGCAAAATTATCTCAAATATATGATGTTGACACGTAAAAAATAAAAATTGATCTGTTTGACTTTTGCACCAATAATATGCATTTAAAATACCACTATTAGATGATGTTATATCAAACACAAATGCTTGTACTTTTTTTAAAAGCTCCTAATCATACACAGGAATATCTCCTGTGTATGATTATATCAATCCCATTAACTTTTCCTGAAACCGCGAGAAGTTGTTCGGTATTCGAAGTTGTATTAATTATTAGTAACCAGACAACAATTTTTATTACAAGTAAATTAGGAATTATTTTTGAATCCCATTGGACTACCGAAAACCCTAAAAACTAGACTATTGATTTTTTTAACAAGGTTTGTCGTAGCTCACGTTCACTTTGCTGTATTTAATTTCGCATAATTTTTTATCCTCTTGCGATATAACCAATACGACCTTTTTGTCTTTAAAAGATAAGAATTTTTCGTTTTTAATTAGGCTCATTTTATTCGAGTAAGCGTTATCAAATAGATCGTTTAATAAATTTAAAAAATCAACCTAATTTTTTTTTTTAGTTTTACTTTTTCTATGTTTATTTAATCCTTGCCAAATTTCGTTTAATGTTTATATTTATACTTAGTATATTTTAATAATCATGCGTATGTATTTTTGGCTTATTCCTGAATAACAAACATTGATGGTGATCAATAATATAACTATAATGAAAATTTAATTTTAAGTTGCGCATATTGTACATACATACACAATCCTTATTCGGGGATAATTTATTACCAGTAACTTCAATACACATATTACCTACAAGATATACAGAATGATTCACTTACTACGATCCACTTAATTAATTAAAATTAAATTAATCATAAAGTTTTTGTTATGTTCAGGCATTATCATAAGGGTATCAGCTTTAATTTGGCAACACCCCTAGTTAACTATTTAATAGATGATGATCTAATTAAGAAAATTACTGGTTGTTGGCATATTTATATCTAGGTGAAAGAAAGAATATAATAGGAAATATTTAGTTAAATAACAGCACCCACTATTCACCTACATTTATAACTAAAAAAAAAAAATAATCAAAATATAATTTTACAATGATAAAGCAGATTACAGTTCAATAGGAGTTTATTATTTGAATTAGAATACTGTAAGTTTTTAACAAAATGCATTAAAAAATATATATTTTTTTCATTATTTACAATTTTTAATGTCTAAGTATATTCTAAGTTTGTTTTACTACTGTGATGTAGATGATGTTTTTATATCATTTTTAAATAAAATACAAATTTACTGTATCGAGCAAATAAATTATTTGAATCTTCAAACACAGACGATAAATTATGTGCACTACTCATTTAAATATTAAAAATTACACATCATCAATTCAAGTAAAAAAACATCAGTATTATTAAATGTTTTATACTGGATTTTTCAATTTATTAATATTTTTGGAAAAAATTACTGAATAGTATTTAATTAAATAAAAATGCAATCAATTATAAATATTAAAATATATATCTTAATTTTTACTATGATCTCGTACTTCGAAGTATTGTGCATCAAAAAACATAATATTCATTTATTAGAGTATTTGTTAAGTCATGATGGATGGAAAAATTTGGATGATGTAAAATATGTCAAATACAGAAAAAATAACTTTACTTTAGAAGATGTAATAAAACAACCTATATTAAATTCAGAATATAATAGACGAATACACATTACAAAAATATTTCTTGGGTGTTCTTACGTCAATGTTTTAGTGACAATTTTATTTACTTTGGACAATTTTCTTAATCATTGTAGATTTATTGGGATTCAAGAAAATCCTCATGAATATGTATACTATTGTACCAATGAACTTATATATATTATACGAAGAATAATTTGGATGACGAACCTTATGCAAGGCGCATTGGATAGTATTGAAAAATATCACGGGAGTCTGTGGGGAACAAACTTGTGTAACAATTATATTTTAAATACGGTAATAACAAATTTAAGAAATTATGTACCTTTAAAAAAAATATTGATTCCCAAAATTAATCCAATAATTACTCAACAAACATTATCGGCCATTAAAGAGTTTTTTTTTAAAAGAAATAGAGAACTAAAAAAAGATTTAAGTAAATGCAATCTAAAGTCTACAGATTTGACAGTACTATGGAAAAGTTGGAATGAAGAATTTGATGAAACACTATCTGTAGGAAAAAAACCAAAGTTCTACGATTTTCTAAGCACAAAAATTAACTATATAGCTCAGCAAACTATTCAAGAGAAGTACTTAAATCTAGGTTTTATCTACAATGAGGAAACTCAAGAGACAACTGTACCAACTCTTCCAGTAAATTTCGAACATAGTATGAATATTTGTGTACATTATATGTATTATTTAAAATAATAATTATTTATTCGTTCCATTTGTAATTTTTTAGGACTGAGCCAATATTAGAACTGATACTTAATATATTGGTCAATTAAATAGATTATATATCAGTATCATTTAAAATAATCATTCAATTTAATAAAATGGTACAATACTATTTTAAGTTATATATAATGCTAGGTCGTATAACTCGTTATCGATATTCGATATTTCAATTTCATTGATCTAATAGGGGAGACTTGGGGAACTATAGTCAGTGGATAATACCGGTCACTACATTATCTAATAAGTCCATGCATCTAAAATTATGTTGACCATATGTATAGATTAAGAATGATAAAAAAAACCTTATTCTTATTAGAACGATATCATCCATAAATGTTTTCACGTTTAAATGTGTGAAAAAAGTTTTCAGCGTTTATTTATCTAAAAAAAATTGTTTAAGAAATTTAATTTAAGGTAAGCAAATTATTATACATTTATAATTTATATGAACTATATTCCTGTGATTCTTTTTTAAATTATTTTATCCCTATCTTTTTACATGTATTAATGTATAGCCGATATTCCACCGGGTAGGGGGAATACTGGTCAATTGCATTATCAAAATATATATATAAGATTATGTTTTAAAAATCTGCGACTTTGACATAATGCAGTCAATATGTTTGTCAATATGCATCCATTTGTTGTAATAGCATAATATTTAGAGTCTCAGAACCACAGATATAACAATTTTTGTGAGGTGACCGTAGTGCCTCCAGTCTCCCCTACCTCAGAAAAACTTTTTGTTGTTCTGTAATATTACTAATAGTAATATTGGATTATTTAATTAGATTAAAATTTGATGTAAATAATATAAGTAAAAGGAAAAATTTGATAATGAAAATTTTATAAATTATCTCTTTAAAATACTTTTAATAATTATTTTAATACGCAGCTAATACTTCAAATATTTTATTTGTATTATACTAATTTCAAAAATCCTATAACTGATGTATCTGTTATAGGTCAACATGTTGACATTATAACGAATGAATCAGGTATCAATATTTACTTATTTTATTAATATACAATCTTAAATTAATTTAAATAATAAATCAAGTGTAAATATTATGTATTTATTTGTCAACATTTAATAAATTCTTTGAATGTATTAGACTCAAAATTGCCAGAGGAAAATAATGAAAAAGGTAAATATTTTTTCAGTGTACTGAATTACTTAAATGTTTATTTGAGCGCACGATAGTACACCGAACCAAGTTCTAACAATACAGTTGCACTTTACAAGAAACAATCACCCGATTTTTCGAAACCACATATTTTGGTTTCTACTTAAGATATACTGTTGAAAATTTAAATATAAATAAAGATCTAGTAGCATAAAACGCTGTAAAAATATGATCTCTTAATGTTTAATCATTTTAAAAATGGGAGCCTTTTAAAATTCACACTTTTGTTACTCACACTTACATAAAACACTTCCCATATATGTAGAAACATGAACTTTGAGACAAAGGTAGGTCTTAAAGTGTAATTAAAGGTAAAAATCTAAACATTATTTTTTTTTTAAATATAATTCCACTTTATGGAATTTCTAAATGTAACCAAACCCAACGTTCAATGTATTTATAATTTTATATAATATTATAGTAGTATATACTACGAGTTTTGACCAGTATATTATATAATACACTAGTTAAAAATTTTAATGTTACTTTTGACTCTAAAGCAAACAAAGAAATAATATTCAAACAAAACGATAATAATGCAAAGTTTTATTTATATCTTGATAATTTCTTATGGGACGTTGTGTGATGTAGTGGACACTTCAGATGCTATCAAGATCAAATATTAAGTTTTGTTTGCCACTTTTAGATGTTAGAAGGGTTAACATATAACCATCATATCAAATTAGAGGACCCCTAAAATTATCTTTAATAATCAATTTTATCAACAGCTAATATTTTAAATGATTCATTTGTATTATAGAAATTTCGAAAAATCCTAAAAGCGATGCATCAATTGTAAGTCAACATATTGACTTCACAATTAATAAATCAGGTATCAATATTAACATATTTAATATACAATCTTAAAATTCACTTAAATTATAATTCAAGTATAATATAATTTTTGAATTATTTTAGTCTATTTAACCCTAAAAAAATACATCATTTTATTATTACCTAATAAATTATTTTTTCTTCTAATTATTAGGTCAATATTATATTTTATGATAACTGATTTTTAATTTTTATTCAGATGTAGAAGTTAATCCTGAAGTTGAAGATGGTTCACCTCAACTTTTAATAATCCCTGATCATTTGAAACAAATTAACATGTATCTTTGAATTTAGCACTACTTTACTAAGTTTTATTACAAAGAATATTACAGTTATACTAATAAATATATTATAACATTAAAATTAACAATCCTATATTTCATAAAATATCTTCATTAATACAATAGAGCAATAAGAATCATTTTATTTTTATCAAACTATTTTTATATTGTGATAATTTTTTTTATATACATATATCTAAAAAAAGTTGGCAATATTTATTAATTAGTTGTAAGAAAAAGAGATGTAAAACCCACAAAATATTAAGTTTTATCTTTAAAATTATTAAGTAAAATTAAAACTATATTAAAAATATTATTAATTTAAAAAAGTAAAAAATATTAAAAATATTAAACTCAAAGCCACAAAAAATTAATGAAAAGTCGCGGATACGTATTTCGGAAACAATGTTACCATTATCAACGCTAAACACATACTGTTATAGCCACAAGTGATCAATTTTTATTATTTAAAATTATTAACTTAATATTACTTATTAAAAAGGACTGATATTTAACTCGTTAATTTGGCGTCTGAATAATCACATTATAATTAATGGACTTAAAACAATTGCTCTAATGATGAATTCTGCAATGAGTTCTAAATGTCAACATGTCAAAACTGAAGACATGGATATATCTGTAAATATTCGTATATATAAATAGTTGAGACAAGTAAAGATGATATCTGATAGAGATTAAAATCACTATCATTAGAAACTCTTAGAAATTGGTGGATTATTCCAAAAGCAAAATAAACCTCTTATAACTAATATAAATTAATAAATTTTATTCTAATTTAACTTGAATATTTTTATTAATATTTTAATAATGTTTATGTGGTATACTTGAGTCTACCTCAACAGACCTTTCAGCAAAAATAAATGCTGTTAAAGTCATATTATCTGTTATTTTTTCTAATCTCTCTTTTATGAAGTTACAAAGATTTTAAACAAATACGTCTTGGTACATCTTTCACTACAGGGCCTCGTCCAATCAAAATTATTTTCAATTCCAATGAATCTTCAGTCATTACGACCTACTATTATGCTAAAACGTAAGCTTTAAATCTCCAGCCTCTTATGAACTTAGTTCGCAACAAAACTTCTTTGAAACACACAGCTACTTCGTTCCTGTCATCGTTAACTAGAACAGTGTCAATCAGTGGGTGAGACCAACTTTACTATCACCTATTTAAATGGTATTTCTAGTGTCTGTCAAAAAACATATCCCACGCCCATCAACGTCCTCGAGACTAAGTAGTCTGAGAAACTTGTTCTTGCATAGGCAAGAACTCCCTGCGTCTAGTAAAACCAGCCCATGCTCCTGTTCCACTCTAACAGATCAACGCCCCAGCATTGTGTATAATAGCAATAATCCACCTACCACTTTTTGTATATACTGTCACTTAGCTAAACCAACTTTAAATTCTTTCTTAATATATTTTACGAACTTTAAGCACTCTTTTTCCAAAATTGTTAATAAGTTTAATCATCTCAATGAGACTCGATCCCTCCATCCTTTAAAAATTCAACAAAAATTTAGGCCAGCGTAGCAATGTTCCCTCTAATCTACGTTTAGGTAATGAGACGGTTAACAATTCTTTTGATACTGCTAATCTATTTTGGAAGTATTTTTCTTTTTTGTTAACACCTCTACTTCTTCAACTCATTATTGTATTACTAATTATGTTTTACTTATGAGCTACCTTCAAATTGCTACTTTTCTTAGGAAATTTACTTTCACTTGTAGAGTGGCTCTTACAACATATATTAAAAAAGATGTATCTTTATTAATCAATTGTAAATTTACTTATTAACAATTGATACAAACTTACTAAATTTGTTATAATTTTGAAATGTAATTATATTTTTTATTCAATGATTAGTTTTATTTAGTTATAAATACTAAAGTTTAGTTAAATACTAAAATAAACTTTGAATTTCATCGAGATTTAATTTCTTTGGAGAACACTGTCAGTTTAAAGAGATTTTTTTAATCCGTCGTTGAATATATTTGATATTTTGATTGTAACTTAAGAAACTATATAAATTTTTAAAATTAAAGGAGTTCATATTTTAGATACGCCAAAGAAATTATCAAATTTCAAAGAAGTCTTAGAAACGTACAAAAATTAATGAAGCCGTAAAAATTAAAATATTTTAGAGAAATGTACATAAATTAAAGAAGCCATAGAAATTATCATATTTTAGAGAAGCCATAGAAATGTTAAAAATGAAAGAAGCCATATAAATTATCATATTTTAGAGAAGCCATAGAAATGTACATAAATTAAAGAAGCCATAAAAATTGCCATATTTTAGAGAAGCCATAGAAATGTACAAAAATTAAAGAAGCCATAGAAATTATAATATTTTAGAGAAGCCATATAAATAATCAAATTTTTAAGAAGCCATATAAATAATCAAATATTTAAGAAGCCATAAAATTGTACAAAAATTAAAGAAGCGATAAAAATTCATAGATAATACTTTGATCTTTATTTTTACATTTCATATTATTGTGAAATAATATAAGTTAACATAACTTCTAAAAATCTGAGATTCTACAAAGAAATTAATTTTATTATTAAATTTATTAATTTATTTATATTTTAAAATTTGATCAAATGAGTTTTTTTTCACTCAAAAGAAGTTTTTCTTAAAATTTTTTTCTATAGAAGGATTTTTTATTAATCGTAAAATAATTATATTATAAAGAAAAAAAATTTTAATTTGTTTAGCTGCATTCATTTTTTGATTTGCCAGTTACTAATATTTTTGTTGCATCATCCCTTATAACCTATTGGCCAGGAAAATAATATCAGTTTCAATGCGAAGCTGAGAAGGTATTAATTTTACCATGATGTGGATTTTTGTGTCTGTTGCCACTTTTTTTCAGCTCTGACTGGATCGATTTCTTACAACGATACGTCAAAGATCACAAATCGTATCTAGTTGAAGACATTACCTTCAAAAATAGAAAAAATTTTCCTCGTTCCCCATAAATGGAAGAAATCTTCTAAAAAATTACAAAATCTTAAACTAAGTAAATTTCGTCATTTTTTCACCTTTTTTTCTTAAAACTATTATAAATTTATCAAAAATGAACAAACCAACAAATCTTACCTAGTTGAAGACATCACCCTTAAAAATTATAAAAATTTCCCTTGATCTCCGCAAATGGAAGAAATCTCCAAAAAAATTACAAATTTAAAAATCGGTAAATTTTGTAATTTTTTTCACTTTTTTTTTTTTAAACTTCCATAACTTGTTCAAACATAGACAAATCAACATATTTTTTTTTTATATTAAAACCTTAGATATTTTACTATCATTTGATATAATTTTTATGAAAATCTAACACTTAACGTGCTCACAGGGGGGGATTTAAAATAGCAACTTTTTATCAAAACTAAACTTTTCAACTTAACTTCTGTAATTGTTTTGGAAATACTGTGTCCTTTAAACATATATTAAATTAAAGCTTATGTCATGTATTATAAAATGAAAAACAAAAATTTGTTCCGACAACTTATATTTTACGTGCAAATAGGTGCCATAGTTAAAATCCTGCTGTTTTTTTGTTAAAATTTTTGATTATCGATTTTAAACTTTAAATTATTATAACTCTTTGAAAACTGTATGGATCAATACAATTTTTTTTCATAACTACTTTATATTTACTTCTTTCATTTGATATACTTTTTTTTAAATCGAACTATTTTTCTTTATATAGGGCGGGTTTAAATTTTTCATAATATGAGAAAAAATAGAACTTTTTCAAATTAACTTTTGAAAATGTTTCGGAAATACTGCGTCCTTTCAATATATGTCAAATTAAAGCTTACAATAAATACTATAAAAAAAAAATTTGTCCCGACACCTTTTCTTCTATGGGAAAATGGAAACTAAGAACTGCCATAACTTTTTAAGAAATGAACAAATTAAAATATTTTTTTTTTATATTAAAACCGTAGATATTTTTCTTTCATTTGATATAATTTTTTTGAAAATCTTACTATAAACCTGCTCATAGGGGGATTCAAAAAAGAAATTTTCGCACACAAGTTAAACTTTTCTTTTAATTTTTGAAAATGGCTATTTTTGTGTGAAAATTCTGAGTTTTGTATTTTATTTTATTTTAAAATATCTTACAAGAGGAATACACTGACTTTTGTGAATATTATATAATATAATTGACATAGAATATAAATTTAAACTTATTTAAATATTTTTGCTTTTTTTAAGCCGAAAAAAGAAACTTGAAAATTTGAATTAGCTTAAATTGCCAATTTTATCAATCATAGGCAGCAGCCTCTATAATACTGTGTGTAGGTGTAGGCAACCATAGTGTTATGGTAGAAATATCTACACACCGGATAAAATTCTTCAGATATGGTGACTTCACTGCGATGAGGAAGGCAACGGAATACCACCTCATTATTTTCCCTAGTTAAACAATTGTTTATAACATCGATTCAAAAATGGACTTAATTAGCAGAGTAAAAAGTATTTTCAGTGGTAAAATAGTTCCCCAATCGGATCTTCGGGTGGGAACTACCCTGCACGAGGTACAAGTGGTGAATCCCTATAGGAAGAGGAAAAATAGGATGATAGGGACGTGGAACATAAGAACAATGCGCCAAATACACAAGTTAGAAAATATTATAATTGAAATGGAAAGTATAAAAATTAGAAATACTAGGTTTATGTGAAACAAATGGTCAAACAGCAAAGACTTCTGGACAGCAAACTATAGAATAATTTATTCCCAAGAAAAAAATGGACAATGTGGAATTGGCGTAGTGCTTCATAAAACCTGGGGAATAAAGGTTACAAATTATATCATATACAGCGAAAGAATTATTATGATCCAACTGGAAGCAAAACCAAATGATCTATTTGTAATACAAGTATATATGCCTTAGTCAAGAGCCGATGACGAAGAAATTGAAGAATTATATGCTGGAATAGAAGAACTACTAAAACTCACTAAAGGAAAAGATAACGTTATTATAATGGGAGACTGGAATGGTGTTGTAGGTGAGAAGTGAACGGAAGTAAGACGTTAGAGAAGTGGGAAAATATGATCTAGGCCAAAGAAATGCAAGAGGAGATCGATTAGTGGAATTTATCAGAGAAAATAGTTTCGTGATAACGAATACACTATTCAAAGAACACAAGAGAAGAAAATACACATGGGAAATGACCGGCGATACAGGAAGATATCAGATTGACTATATACTAGTAAATATTTGGTTTAAAAATCAAGTCAAATCTTGCAAAACATATCCTAGAACAGACTATGACAGTGACCATCAATTAGTGGGTATGAAATATTGTGTAAAATTAAAAAAAATCGTTTAAGTTGAAAGAAATATATATTAGAGATAATAATTTCTGTATAAAGCGCGTTAAACGTTATTATTATCCATGGAAAAGAAATCGTGTACTGTTACCAGTAAATAATGTAATAAATGTTTACATCTGTACTTTAGATAATATGGACTGACATTTGATACCATAGGAAAATTGTATAAAAAATCAAAATTTAACAAATTTCAAAATGCTGTATAAATGTAACTACTGAATTAAAATAAGAGTTTTCCGTATCAAAATATTTCTTTAAAACTTATCTGAAAGATAAGTTTTCTAAATCTTTAGATAGTGTTTAATATTAAAAAATTGGTGGATTATTCCAAAAGCTACATGATCTGTTATTTTCTTATTAATATCCTGATTAAAATAAAGTATGTCGAGTGAAAAAGGGATTATTAAAAAATATTATTTCTCATAAAAAAATTGAGTTGATCCATACACTTTTCTATAAGTTATAGCATTATAAAGTTAAAAATGTAACAAATAAAATAGAGAATTTTCACACAAAAATAGCATTTGGTAGTCATTTTCACCGTGAAGACAAAATAAAAACCGAAATTTTATTTTTCATACTAAAGTACATTACATTATCTTTAATATATATAAAAGTGACAGCCTTTCTGGAACACTCTCAAAAGTCAAATGTAAAAGTAAATTTTTTGTGAAAAAGTTGTCATTTTAAATCCCCCCTGTGGACAAATAAAGAGTCAGATTTATAAAAAATATATACCAAATGATAGGTAAAGACATCAAGCATCTATAAAAAAAAAAATTATATTGATTTGTTCATTTTTGAAAAAGTAATAGCAGTTTTAAGAAAAAAATTGAAAAAATTAGCGATTTTTAAATTTGTAATTTTTTGGAGGTTTCCCTATTTAAAATAAATAAGCTTCGAAAAACTTAAAATAATTTTTATCCTATTTGCAGTGGATGGAATGCAAAATCATGTTCGAAGTACTGTTGCACACGTTGCTTAGAGCTTTAATTGATGTTAGTCAACTGCTTTAACCTTATAGGTTTAGAGATATGATCGATTTCAACTGAAAACTTTGAAATCATTTATCACAAAAACTAAACGACCAATTATGGATTTTTATTTTTGCGTTAGAATAAGTTAATAATGAGCTATCGAATGACTTATGAATTTCGAAAATTGAGCCACATACCAAATCCAGGGAATTGGTCCTTGGCCCTTTCATCTGAAACCAAAATATACTTTTCTAAACTCATTTATGCGCCGATTTCAAATCGTTTACCATTTACAGGGAAACGAGTGAAATTTTTTCGATAATTGAGGATAATGTCTTCGACTAGACAGATTTGTGTTTTTTTGACATATCGTTGAAACAAATCTGTTAGATGAGAGCTGAGAAAAGTCGTAACAGACACAAAAAAATAATAAACACATCATCACCTACTTATTTTCACATCGAAGCTAATAAGTTTTATATTGTTTTGTATATAGAGGATTCATTATAGATAAGACACTCATTTGGAAGCTATTAACAAGTTTAAATTTTTGTAAAAAAAAAATATTGTTTTTGATTATTAATTCAAAAAATTCTACAACTATATCTGTTTTTTTAATTTTTTTCATACCTTAAAGAATAAAAAACCTTGACTTTAATTTCTTTTTGATTGGAACCTCTATTTTAAATTGTTGGAAATATGAATTGTAAAAAATTTTGTTCTGAATCAATCGTTAGCGTATTAAAATTGTTTAAATATTTGGATTTAAAATATTAATTCGTCAGTAATTTAGTTTTTATAATACCAGAGGAAACAATAATCTGTTTTAATGGGTTAAAAATGATTTTTATGGTAGTTATCAAGAAAATATTTTACACCAGCTGTTTAACAAAAGAAAACTTGTGTTTAATAAATAGCTTAATTTATAGACATGAATTATTAAAAGTAATATTTCTACTTAATGGATAATATCTAATTGCACCTGTGACAATAGACAACTACTGTAATGACTACACAACAAATTATCAACAGAAAAATGATAAAAAGGCTAAAAAAGATTATAAGAAAAAATTGTTTTTTCTACAGTATCATCAAACTAAAAATAGGGGTTTGTCCAAGGCGTTTTATCAATATAAATAGGTTTAATAATGTTATAATTTTTATCAAATGGCTTTCACGATATAAGATATTATCAATAGTTGAAATTAAAGCCGGTAGCATGGATAAATATTTAATTATTCAATAACTAGAGTTCCCCTCAGACCAAGACGAGCTTCACAAACAATTAAAATCATTCATTACTAATATTTTTAATGTATTTATTGTCGAATTAGATTTGATATGATAAAAGTATTCAACTGCAAAAGTAAATAATTTTACTTTGTAATTTAATAATTTTTTAGCTCTATTTGTGTGTATTACTAATAGTCTGTGAAATTTCAAATTTTTGTAATATTATAGACTGTTAATATTCTAAATTTTTTGGTAACATGCTGCTATATAAATTATTCATGGGCATTTTCGAATATTTTAAACTATTATTAGTTTTTAAAACTATTCGAATATATTGTGTTTACAACTATCGAATATTTTTACTATTCGAACAGTTAATGAATGACTATCGAATAGTTCAATAGTTACTATTCGATATTTCCCATCACTAATATAAATCACATATCTAAAAAAAAAATTATTTTTAATTTCACCTCAATTTTTACAATAATAATCAAATTATATAATATATACAGAGTGATCCATTTAACATTGACCAGCAAATATCTCAAAAACTATTTATTATTTTAATAATTTTTTTTTAAAATTATTTTAGTTACATAAAACTCTACATTTATCCATGATCAGATAATTTTTAGGTTCATCCCTTATGCCTTAAAAGGGTACCAACTTTTTTTTTTCAAATGGAAACATATATTTTTAGTTAGATATATTGATAGTTTTTTTTTTTTTTAATTTTTAGCGTTTGAATTTTTCATTTAAGTCGATTAGTTTGCATGTTATTTCACTTTAAAGTTTTGATTTTTTTTACCTATATATATGTATAAAACGGGTAGACTTGTAATACAGGTAGTTAATTGCAGCGGTTATGATGGCTCGTAAAGACACATAGCGATTATTGACGATTACTGTCAGATAAGATTTATAAATAATGGTTTTTAGACACATCGTTGTCATCTAGACTGATANTACCATTATTATTATAATTTCTAGAAATTGAGTGGTCAATGTTTTAAAAGAGCCACCCTGTATACATATGTATGTATGTAAACATGAAAATGCATTGGGTAATTTTACCCTACTAAAATTTAGACTCATCTAGAATTATAGCAAAGATATTTAATAGTAGTAGAAAATACATACATTTAACCTGTCCTAAAAGCTTGATTACCCTATAAAGTATTACTAGCCATTAATCATTGACCACCAAGTTTTAATAATTGTACAATTAAATTTTTGTTAATTTTTAAGCTAAGTGTTGAGAAGCTAGTAGACACCTGTTCCTCAATTGTTGTTACCACTTTTTTCTCGTAGCATCTAAATCTCTATGCTACTGCTTTGTTGATTAATAAAATGGAATCAGAAATTATTGGTTCAGAGCTTTATAATGATTCCTAAATTTAAGTTTTTTTGAGTTTTTTGATGATTTCTAAAAAATAGTCTTGCATTGTAATAAGCTATTGGTTTTTTAAATAAATTCAATTAAACATTAGTCAATAAAATTGACATTTTATTAACTAAATTCAAGTTAAAAGTAACATCACAATAATAATGAATGAAAGTAAATAGGACACATACTTTTTTATTGTTACAAAAAAAATATAGTTTTAGACAAATTTAAACAACAAATTGAACAAATGATTAGAAAACAGTTAAAAACAATAAAAAATACTAAATAACTCATCCGGTTATTTTTTCTAAAATAAATAAAAATGGGCATAAAAATAAATTGTCTAAAATTTGACTTCAAACATTAACTAGTCAATTTTTAAAAAATAGTATAAATTAAAAATTTTTTACTCATTATTAGTCCTATTTTGTTTTATTTATAACACAATTTAATTATCATAATTTGATTATTTTTCACTACTGAAATTACTAGGTTTCAATGGTTTATTTAAATAATCAAAAATAATTGATCAATAACTGTATATTTTTCAACATTAAAAATAATTTTTAGAAAATAGAAAGTATTAAGCAACTCATTCAGTTTTTATTTCTAATAAAAATAAAAATGTACATGAAAATAAATTGTCTTAAATAAATTCAATTAAACATTAGTCAATAAAATGTTAAGAAATAGTAGAAATATAACTTCTACTATACTATCCAGACAACAATTTAATATTAAAAGTGGAACACTTTTTTTTTAAATGACATAATATGTAACAGTTATTGATAGAGTTTAAAATAAAGCAACTTATTATTATTTTCACTACTAGAACTAATAAGTTTCAATGGTTTATTTAAATAATCAAAATTAATTGATCAATAACTGTATATTTTTCAACATTAAAAATAATTTTGTTTTTTTGCTCGACTTGGTACTTTTGTCATTATGAGACAGTAAAACACCAATATTAAATACATTTAATACTAGATCCAAGGCAAAATATGCGTTAAGTATGATATCATACAAAATATGCGTTAAGACTTGGGAAATGTATTAAAAATAGTTAATAATTGACATTTTAACAGCCCCAAATGAGAAAAATACCAAGTCACTGCAAAAGAAAAAAAATTAACATTGCCACCTTCATGCTAAAGTGTTATGTAAAAAATGACTAAGTGATTTAACATAAATAACCATCTTATAAGTACAATGTTTTAATATCTAATTCACAAAAAAAGATATTTTACAAGTTACTAAAAAATAACAACTCGTGACTAAATTATTTTGGTTAGCCTTATGATACAGAACATTACTACAGAAATTGCTTAAATAATCAACTGTTAAAAGTTTTTGTTTAATAAGTAATGTATTAGGCTTCTTTTTTTAAATCTAAATAAAACAAAACTGATTCACCTCAAAATTGTAAAAAAAACACTTTTAGCATGAAGGTGGAGATATACTGATACAATATAGAATTTCAGTTTACAATAGAAATAAATGACCATCTAAAATTTAAATCTTAACAATTGTATCAACATTTAAAAATTAATTTGAAACATTCCATACCACTTAAGAATACATTTAATTTTACCAAAATTCCTTAACTTACAAGTTTTAGATTTACAAAAAAATTTAAATCATCTTAAGACAGTAACCATATTTATCAAAAATACTAATTTTAAACATTCTAGGAAGCATTTTAAAATACAGTATAAAATACAATTCTAACTTAAACTTGTACAAACATTGTCAGTCTTTTATAAATTGGTAATTTCTAATAACAAAAATTAAAAATTAGGCTTCAATTAATTATGATTCATACAGTACATTATATAACTAGACTGCAATGACAAAAATTAATTTTATTTTAAATCCAAAAAAATCATAAAAGAGAAAATTACTTCATAAATTTCAAATATTGCAGTACTCTTCTAAAATTTCTTAATGAACTTGAAATTTTTTTTTTTTTTACATACAAAAATGATATATTTCATACTTAACCAAAAAATATGAGGTTAAACTAGATTAAAAAAATCTATTTGCAGTAACAGATTTCATTGGAAAATTATACTAGTTTCTTAAATGTATGCTTGAAAATATAAATGGCAACAATACAAAATCATCAAATAGCAGAAATCCAAGTTAAAACTGAAATTAATAAACTTGTCTTAGATTCAATGAATTGAAAACTTAAAAAAATGGTTGTGTTACACTCACTTAAGTTTATTGAGAACTTGATTTTTTTCTACAAAACAAATTTTAATCATGCAGGTTTTCTAGTAAGAAAATATGTTTAAATTGATTTGAATACAAATTGTGAGTTCACAAATTTGGTTGTTCCAATCCACGAACGTTCGGTAAATCAAAGCTAATTCATAAGTATAGACAATATCTACGTATAAACAAAAATGTATTCGTTATTATTCGGGTTTAATTTATTATATACATTTTAGCTAATCATCTTACCAGTTTAAACGTTTCAAAGCACAATCACAATAAGTATTCTTCTGTTTCTCAGAACTAAAATGATTTTTGTGTTTTACCAATAAATCAAGAGTTATATTTAATGCATGTTAATCGTACATTTCAGTTGAAAAAAACGATGTACTTTCTATGATTCAATAGAAAATTACACACTTAAGTAACCACACAAAACTTGGATACACGATATCAATAAATGACAATTAGGTTATACTACAAAGATTAGTGTGACAGTTGATAAACTAAAATTCCAGAGAACTTAAATAATTTTTCTTCATATCAAAGTATTATTTAAAATATTTTGATATGAAAATAAAACGGCTTCATGTTTACTAAGAAATCGCGTATCCGTAGATATCAGTCTAGGTGACAACGATGTGTCTAAAAACCATTATTTATAAATCTTATCTGACAGTAATCGTCAATAATCGCCGTGTGTCTTTACGAGCCATCATAACCGCTGCAATTAACTACCTGTATTACAAGTCTACCCGTTTTATACATATATATAGGTAAAAAAAATCAAAACTTTAAAGTGAAATAACATGCAAACTAATCGACTTAAATGAAAAATTCAAACGCTAAAAATTATAAAAAAAAAAACTCTATCAATATATCTAACTAAAAATATATGTTTCCATTTGAAAAAAAAAAGTTGGTACCCTTTTAAGGCATAAGGGATGAACCTAAAAATTATCTGATCATGGATAAATGTAGAGTTTTATGTAACTAAAATAATTTAAAAAAAAAATTATTAAAATAATAAATAGTTTTTGAGATATTTGCTGGTCAATGTTAAATGGATCACCCTGTATATAATTGAGTAAATCTTTTTAACAACTTTTTTTATTTTGGTTCTTTTTAATTTAATAGTAAATGGCATTTGAATTTTTAGTATAACTTTATTTATTTGTTAGATATAAACTTTTAAAGTTTCAAATTTTTGAGTTAATATACATGTTAATACACAAGGGTTTATTGACATTGAGAGACAGCCCAAGATAGAGATAGGTGGCGAAGCGTAGTTATGGCGGCAAAAACTCTTAGAGAGTAGGAATGCCAGTAAAAGAAGAAGAAGTAATTGAATGGGTTATGATAAAAAAATCACTCTGTATATGATATCTGATAATGATTAAAATTACTATCATTAGAAACTCTTAGAAATTGGTGAGTCTACCTCAACAGACCTTTCAGCAAAAATAAATGCTGTTAAAGTCATATTATCTGTTATTTTTTCTAATCTCTCTTTTATGAAGTTACAAAGATTTTAAACAAATACGTCTTGGTACATCTTTCACTACAGGGCCTCGTCCAATCAAAATTATTTTCAATTCCAATGAATCTTCAGTCATTACGACCTACTATTATGCTAAAACGTAAGCTTTAAATCTCCAGCCTCTTATGAACTTAGTTCGCAACAAAACTTCTTTGAAACACACAGCTACTTCGTTCCTGTCATCGTTAACTAGAACAGTGTCAATCAGTGGGTGAGACCAACTTTACTATCACCTATTTAAATGGTATTTCTAGTGTCTGTCAAAAAACATATCCCACGCCCATCAACGTCCTCGAGACTAAGTAGTCTGAGAAACTTGTTCTTGCATAGGCAAGAACTCCCTGCGTCTAGTAAAACCAGCCCATGCTCCTGTTCCACTCTAACAGATCAACGCCCCAGCATTGTGTATAATAGCAATAATCCACCTACCACTTTTTGTATATACTGTCACTTAGCTAAACCAACTTTAAATTCTTTCTTAATATATTTTACGAACTTTAAGCACTCTTTTTCCAAAATTGTTAATAAGTTTAATCATCTCAATGAGACTCGATCCCTCCATCCTTTAAAAATTCAACAAAAATTTAGGCCAGCGTAGCAATGTTCCCTCTAATCTACGTTTAGGTAATGAGACGGTTAACAATTCTTTTGATACTGCTAATCTATTTTGGAAGTATTTTTCTTTTTTGTTAACACTTCTACTTCTTCAACTCATTATTGTATTACTAATTATGTTTTACTTATGAGCTACCTTCATATTGCTATTTACCTTTAATGATGTGCAATGTTCCCTTAACTCTTTAAATACCCACATTTTCAAATGTTCCTGATGGCATATCTGCACGTTTGCTCTTTAACTGTCAAAATTCGAATATCTATCATTTATTTTTAGTCTTTGGACGCTTACTAGATGAAGGTCTTTTTCCCGTTGTGAAGACCTGTTCAGTTACGTCTGTTTTTAAATTTGGTTATTTCTAACTGCAGGCCTATTTCCATGCTTCCTCACATTGCTACACTGTCTGAATCCATTATATAGTCTTCTATCAAAAGAAATCTTAATAATATTTCAGTAGACGACCATGATGGTTTTAATTTTGGGAAATTTACTGTCACTTATAGCATGGCTCATATTATAACATATATTAAGAAAAGAAAATAAGTATATTTAGTATTATTCATTATAATAAAATAGTCATCATTGCAATAATGCTCAAATGGACAATTTGACATCGGTCAAGAGGGATGTAGGCCTTTTATACCGAGCCTTAAGATTGCAAAACACGTCTTCATTGGTCAAAACTTACGAGTTTTTATTACACTCGGCATGACAAAATAGTTAACGTACGAATGTACGAAAGAAAATGACATTTTGAAATTAACAATTTACAAATAGTCAATAAGTAAAATGTTTCAGAAAGATAGGATAGAACTGTATAATCATACTAAAATAATTAAAGTATATTAATTAAATTTAAGTTCGTGTTCAAAAAAAACCTCGTGACAATGAACGAGTATGGGGAAATTTAATAGACGAAATAAAGAAAGAAATGAATACTGTACAAAAGTTACCACAATCATACACCCAGAGAAAAACCTCGATCTATATAATAAATTCAATGTTCAATTTGATAAATATATCATTACTATTGAACCTATGATATATTTATCAATATGATAATTTTTTTCTTGTCTTGAACAATAATTATTCATAAGAATAGTTATTTTGTTCGTATTAATAAAACATTATCATAAACCCTTGATAAAATTTCTCTATCAAAATTGATTGAGGTTTGGGTGTAATATAATGATATCCAAGCCACACCCAGCAAACCATCTTCATCCATGGCTTGATTGCCAGGGCCACAGTTAAATTTTAGCAGCCATAAAAAATGTCAGTGTACAAAGTGAGAAAAATAAGTCGATGGCTGGAGAGTACTTAATCGACAACGACACCTAAAAAAAAATTACTAAAACCAAACGGTCAGACCACTCGACGGCGAAGACACATTGTGAAACAAAAGGGGAAAACAACGCCGACATCAGTGCATGCATGTTTGACAGACATTTGGAACCGGTTGATTGTCGACAGTTACTGTAGTAGTCAGCTGAGCGACTTCTTATCACGATGCCAATTTATAATGAATGTTTGATAATGATGTACAACAAAAGGAAATATGAAAAGCGAATGTGCGACTAAATTACTAAGGACCATTTAATTATGTTACAACTAAATTTTAATGTTCAAAAATGGCCTTGATTCACCAAAAAATTAACACCAATCAGACAATAACATTGTATTACCCATTGTTTTGTAGTTACACTTAATTATGAGATGTTCACCAATAATTTATATAATTAACGTAGCGTCTGTTAGATTATAGTAATAAGTACATATTTTTACGTCACATAGTATAAATCCTAAAATTTTATATATAGAGTGTAATAAGAGTGGAAGCTAAAAAAATTTATACACATGTGTAGTATGATTACAAACTTCAAGATTTTATCATATACAAGGCGTACTATAACAATAAACAGATATTCTATAAGTACAAATCTTGCATTTAAAAATACAGGATTTTATTATAATTACCCCGACAAATATAGTCTACAAATATTTGACAATTTCAAGTTTATTTTAAATTTTCGGTCAAACTTTCTTCAGATTCTAATCCATTTTTCAGGATTAATTTTAGTATTATTAAAAAAAACAGAAAGGTAATTTATCTTATTAAACATATAGATCTGAAATACAGTATTATTGAATAATAAAAGTTTATTTTTTAAATAATTTGCTGTTACAAACAACATAATTTTACTACAAAAATTGTTATGTTTTTTTTTCCGATTTCATTAGTTAAACTAAAATATATTTAAGTTGTATAATACAAAACTTCTACGGCAAGGACTATACAAAATGACTGGTAAATTTTCCAAACGTATTTGTCATTATATACATTTTAAAGTATATGATATTATTTATGATAATTTTGTTAAGGAGTATAAACATTTGAATTGGAATGAAATACACCAAGTTTATTCAATAATCTTTATGTATAAATTTTATATGTATGACATATAAAATTTACTGCATTATAAAATAAACTTAAAAAAGTTAAACCTCACTTATAAAATAAGCCGGTTTAAAAAACTAGGTATTGAAGATCACTTGATTATTTAGTGATACATTTAGAAGCTAGCAAATCTGGTTTTTGTACGAGGTAATTAAAGACTCGTAATGATTTTAAGTATTTTTGACATAATATAATTACCTACTTATAGTTGTTTTTATGGATAAACTAGTTCTCTTAAATTTCATTTCAAGAAACCTATTTAATTATTAAAGTATTATACCTAATGATAATAAATAACGGGTAAATTCTTTTACTAAATGTACAAGCAAAATAATTTTACATATTTATTAGTGTGTACCAATTTTGTCGTTAACCAATAATAAATTAAGACAACTATTAAATAAATAATTTCATTAAATTTTGATCCAAATTAAATTTTATTGTTAAGTAAATACAAATAAAATGAAATCGTTTCAAAAATGTTTATAGAAATTAAATTTGTATTTATTTTAAGTAAATTTTGGTACACATTTACTACAGCTAATTATATAATTAGTTTTTTTTGGGGGGTCTCACTATAAATATTTAGCTATAATTTTACCATTATTACTTAATAAAACGACTGTACTAGTTGATGACAATATTCTCAAATTTAAGAAAATAATAATCTTTGTCATAAATGAGTTATATCACTAAGTTCATGTCCGTGTTTCAATTCTCATTAAAATTAAATGTCAATTAATCCTTGAAAATATTTTTTCTTAAAATTCCATAGAAAAAAATGTTTTATAATTTCATTCCTAATTCAGTAAAACGATAACAGATAATATTTAATCAACAATAATCTATTGTTCAACTAAACACAGTTGGAACAATAACAGACAATCCCACACTATCTACAATAATAAATATTTAAATTTTAAGTAGCACTTTTTTTTTATGACTTCTATAGAAAAATAAAAAGCAAAAGTTAATATTGTCAAAACATTTAATCATCAAACAAAACTCAAGAAACTTTTTTTTTTCTATGGAGAGAAATAATATGAGTTGTTTAACATATTTAACATAAGATTTTGTTGGTAAAATATTTAAAAAAATGTTTAATGCCAAAAATACATTTTTATTTACTTTATAGTAACAATAACATAAAATATTATTAATTTTTAATATATTTGAATTTGAATTTTTTATTTAAAAGGAAAAATCACATTTTTATTTGCTGTAGTAATATATTTCATTTTAATTACCACAAAATCCAGCAATGTATATAGAGGTACAAAGGGAAGTATATATTCCGAAGATTATTAACATTGTTAATCTCAATTTTTATTTATGATACATATCGATTTCAAGTCTCTTTTATTATGGTACAATATGATCAATTTTATTTTATCGTTAAAATTATAAAAGTTATTATTATTTTTTTTAATACGTTTTATAAACTCATTAAGGGCTACAACGTCTTCCCCTAAATTAGGAGGTTTGTTAACCATTTATAATCTAGGACGGGTGNTTTGCTGTAGTAATATATTTCATTTTAATTACCACAAAATCCAGCAATGTATATAGAGGTACAAAGGGAAGTATATATTCCGAGGATTATTAACATTGTTAATCTCAATTTTTATTTATGATACATATCGATTTCAAGTCTCTTTTATTATGGTACAATATGATCAATTTTATTTTATCGTTAAAATTATAAAAGTTATTATTATTTTTTTTAATACGTTTTATAAACTCATTAAGGGCTACAACGTCTTCCCCTAAATTAGGAGGTTTCTTAACCATTTATAATCTAGGACGGGTAATAAGTCTGTTGCCGGAGAGAGGGATGGATGGTGAGTCCAATTACCGGACTGATCTCAGGCTCGGCAAATGAAGTGACCGAGTTTCGAACCCGAAGCAGTGCGCGTCAAACACTGCCGCATTACCGACTCGGGCACACCGTCCTTCTTATGAATACCATAATTTAAAATTTTCTAGTTGAAATTATACTGATTAATATAAGAACTATATTTGAAAAATATCTTCGATTATCGTACAGGATATTTTTAAATTCTACAAGAGTCAATGCAGTTTATAATAAAAAGCATACAAGATAATCTTCTAGTAGTAACGACGTAATTGTTCATTGTCTACAATTAATGTATTCTTCTGCAATATTTCAAACCTTGTAAATTGTTAATAGATTAATCGTTAATTGATTTGAGACTCATATTTCGAATATCCTTGTTAAATAAACGAACACTGTGGATATTGTACGGATAATGCTACTCTAACATGGATTTGTAGTAGTAAATGATATGCTCATTTTGTAAAGAAATACCGCGTGTACAGTGTGCTAGGCCACCGGAATGTCTGCCGGTACTGAGCTCATGGCTTACGGCGAGTAGTTTTTTACTGCTAAAGTAGGTTTGATGTAACGACGGTGGTGGTAACGACGGCTGCTATCAACCGGTGGTTAGTAAGCCGGCAACGTTCATGTGGTGCGCTTGTAGTACGTTCATCCGAATCATAAAACGAATGCCGTATTGTCGGCGTTTTTTTTTTTAATAATAATAGTTGTTTTAAAACAAACGACTCATTATCCAAAGTCGATCATTGTGTAATAATTTTGTGTTTAAATAGTGGTTGTTTTAGGTGTATATAATAGTGTTAGTGTGTTTACAAAGAACACCGGCCATAATGGATACGTGAACACCTGACGGAGAGGATTATCACTGAAAATGCTTTCTTCTTCGAGATACAGGTATGAATAGTCACATTTTTATGGAGTACAGAGAATTTTACTGACAATGGGAAAAACCAGCAGTGTGTCTGGAGTAAATTTATTAATGATTCTCGATAGTCCGCATATGCCGCGTCAGTGCCCGAATGACTTTAACAGGAAGAAGTTTTCCGGTTACGCATGAGTAACTATAAAGGGGAGTTATTCATAAACGGTTTCATTTGTAGTCGTACCGTAACTTTGTTTTTAGCCGTTTCAAAAAAATCAATACGTTTCTTAAACTAAGGTGTAGTGAATGCTTATATAAATTAGAGTAATAATTCATTTTGCTACACGATGACTATAGTCATATACTTACCACATGTGTAGTATTCAGTGTATATTTATATATATTTTAGCCCTTTGATGCTCATTGATTGTCAATTGCATTTTAATACATAGAGTGGGTATTTTGACAGTGCACATACACTAATATGAACTGAACTCGCCTATGCTACATAACCACTCTGTGTATTAAAATTATTGTAACTCAATAAGTACTAATCGATTAAGTTGTTATTTACCCATTAAAATTTGTTGGAAGAAAAAAGCTACTTTAAGAAATGGCTATTTTGAAATTTCGAAAAAATTAAAAATTTCATTTTCATTTTTTTATCATCTAAGACAAACAATAAAAAACATGTTTTTAACGTGACCCACAACTGTAAAAATGGTTAGAAAAAAAAATTAACGCAAAATATTTGCTGGGTCAAAAGCTATTTAAGATGTCAAAATCCAGAGGTACACTCTGAATAAGTATACATCATATAAAATGCCATCAGTGAAATAAATCCTATTTAAATAGTTGTGTACAATTTTATCTTATTGGTATTTATTTATGTTTTTAAATAGGGCATGCAATATGTCAAATGGTACTTGATAACTTAAAAAATATTGATAGATTTAATCCAAGTATTTAGTTTTACACTTTTAGACTTAGTTCTTAGAATTAGTCACAACTTGTCTGTTTTGTCATCACCATTACATATTTTCAGTAAGTCATGACACATTAATTCATATATAACTTTTCCGGTTATTGCTAAATGAGTCACACGAGTAACTTTAACGCTGGGCCCCGACGAATATTTTAATGATTATTATGAGAAACCGAAATCAATTCTCGGAAAATCACTCAATTCATCAAAACATTTAGGTTGCCCTTAAGTATAAGTTATGAGCAAATTTAGAATAATCAGATGGCTAAACCGTTTTACGTATAATATTTTTAATATTTTGGGCTAAATGAATAGCTAACTAAATGCAGTAAACTGGTAATTAGGAAACGGTGTTAATAGCAACACATTTTTACCGTTTCAAAGATAATATTTCATATACATTTGTACTTAATCGAACACAATTATACAGCAAAAACGTTGTAAACACTGTTAGTGTAGTGTAAGCATACATACATTATGTCGATTAACGAAGAATTCACGTTAATCATCATTATACTTAATCTTATACGCGAAGTTGGTTTTAAATAAATATATTTAATTATATTTTGCATGCTTCGTTCTAATTATCATTGATATTATTATTACAAAAACGTGTTTGTACATAATTTTAAACGTTTGTTTATTCTATATATCAACAATAACATTTAATATATCAATTTGTATTTCCTAATACTTATACTCTGTACTTGAGCAAATATTGTTATTCGTTTGAGTCGTAATCATTTTAGGCACTTCACTAGTTCTTTCATTTTAATAGGCTGCTGGATTGAAGTACTAAATTACTGGCAAATTTTTTTCAAATGTATCATTAAAACGTCTATAAAATTTATGCATTCTTGAAGCAGAACGCGCAAGTCATTCTTACGAGAATTATTGTTATTACTCTTTTTTTTATATACGAGATAGAAGTTGTACGCATACATTAAGCATGATGAGATCATGTTCTTCAATAGAAAAAAAATACTGAAAACTCTATTAAAACAAAAACTTAAAATTAATAGCATGCCTTGAGCCAATTAAAAAATCTCGAGTTTTATAAAACATTTAAAAGTCAAATATAAAAAATAAAAGTTTTTTTTTCATGTTTTTATTGTATACTTATTATTTCACTTATAACTTGATAGAAAGAAATTTTAACGCTCTGGTTATTTGGATTGATTATATTATCATTTTAAATGATGAGTGATGAAACGATCAATCATGAGAACCACCGAACAGCAATGACAAATTATGTTTTTTTATAGAGGTCAATCGTGCACACTACATTGTTGTAACTTGTGCTTATTGAAGTAGTTGTAGCTCAACACTATGTAAGTCAAGTGGTAACTAAAGGCGACGGAGTCTTTTGTATACAATAATAATAAAAATATATAAGTGTACAAAAATATATCTGCGACTAATATAAACAGCCCACAGGCGCCATGTCTTGTGCGCTTCTATATAATATAGATATGTTGTATGCAACTAGTAAACGGTACACGAGTATTGTATGGCCAGTCGGGCGAGACCAGTAGTATGTCGGATGGCTCCTTAACGACGCTCACACCCGTTTTCCTAGATTGTATGGAAATAATAATGTAAGTCAAGAGTCCTCAATCGCGAGAATCGCGTCGTTTCCGTTTCAAACAGCTATGAGAAAATCAGAAGAAAAAAAAACAGACGATCGGGTGTAGGAGCATTTAAATTTGACCGCAGTTCGCGGTAGAAGCCGCCGATGAATGATCTTCCGCAGGATCATCGTATTGGCATACCAGCCGAAAGGTTATTGAATTCGAACGTGTTACCGACGAAATGAAAAATTAATAACAAATAAGTTAAACATCGCACAATGTTTTCCAAAACAATAGAATACACGACTGCTGACGGGTTCGGTCACGTTTGTAGACATTTAACCGGCCCAGCGCAGTATTTACGGAAGACGAGCACGATATTCGGACTGCGTTCAATAAATAGCCCCATGAGAATAATTGTTATCGTGTATAATATATTATACGTTCATTTCCTGTTGGAACTACGGATATAATTGGTTAGTCCTGACAACGACCCGACCGATACGGGCGCCTCGACTACACCGCCACACCGTTCTCGTGTTATGTATGCGAAGGCGTCACCAGTATTATAAATACATCATAATAGAAGTCTATCCGATTACTTGGCGCCTTCTATGAAAAATGAAATTTCCATCGGTGACACCGTTTATTGTATTGTGCGGCTGACGCCGATGCAACGATATTAAATAGAAAAAAAAAAAGTAGGCAGTGAACTGTAAATAAATGAATAGTTAATATACTTGAAAATCGAGTGAGTCGTTAATCTTCACACGACCAAAGCCAAGTCGAATTCGTAATCAATCGGCAGAAATTTACAACGTACATACGCCAGTGTAACATTAATTTACTTTCTGGACTAATTGAACGTGTTGTGTTGTGTATGCGTTGTCGATTGTGTAATCTAAATGAAAAGGGAGTGAAAAATATGTCCTTGGAACACATCGTTCAGATGCCAAATACAAGGGTGTGTTGAACACTTAAACTTGGCGGTGACGTAAGACGTACTAGAAACATAACGAACAATGACAATAGTAATAATATGCACTGCACAATCGGATAGAAAGTCGATTGGCGGGAACAATTAATGTGTCCTAGGCGTCGTGATAAACCACCAAGTTGTCGCGTTTTTATTATTATTATTTTCAACATTCCAGATTAATGTTGTAGTCTGTCGGCCAGTTTGCAGCTTAACCGACACAAATTGTATTCGAGTCTAACAAATTTAGTCGGTTGGCACGCGCAATTTTTGATATTTCTCTGACGGCTATTCTATTGGCGCACAGTTGACCATGTCAACCAAAATTAACAGTTACACCGCGTCGCATTGGATACAGCTAAGTTGATTTTAAACGCATTTTTGGTAGTTAGCAAACTCGCTGTGATGTCTCTTGATTTTTTCTCGATACTCCGACTGAATACATTTATTATTTGACGATTTTCATTGTATTTTTCTAATTCGATTGTATTCAGTGGTGGATTTTCAACATTTTTCTAGGGGGTCCAAAAAATAATATGTGTTTCAAATAATTGGTGTTAATCTAAATATGTTAGAATAACATATATTATATATTTGTGTTTCGAGGGCCCGCGCCGTCAGAAATCCGCAACTGAAATGTATTGTTTTAGAATAAGTTTATTGCATTTTTGTACTCACGTATACAATGAATTTGATTTCAATGATTATACGTAATAAAGTTTATTATATTCGTATGGGTCTTGTTTTGTCGAACTAAAATGAGCTCTGTAGAGTTATGAAAAGAATTACTCACTTTTATGTTTGACAGCTTACGATGTTCATGACATGTCCAATTTTTATTATCAATTGATGTACATAGGATTAAAAACGATTACATTNGTATACAATGAATTTGATTTCAATGATTATACGTAATAAAGTTTATTATATTCGTATGGGTCTTGTTTTGTCGAACTAAAATGTGCTCTATAGAGTTATGAAAAGAACTACTCACTTTTATGTTTGACAGCTTACGATGTTCATGACATGTCCAATTTTTATTATCAGTTGATGTACATAGGATTAAAAACGATAGTTATTATTGTGGTCTTAGTTAATCATTTGAATGCATTAGCATCGAGTGTATTGTATAAGAACAAAACGATTATTTATGGTATACCGCCGCAGTAAGTTAATCACAGAAAATATAAACATATGAGAATTGTGAGTTATAATCATTACAATTAGTTTTTTGAACTTTACATACTTTTATTAAAATTCCAGGTAGGTATTAAGTCTCCAATGACTCGATAGTACTTCGAGGATGGATATCAGACGTCAATTTACGGTACTTTCTTTTTCAAAAATATTAGAATACCAGATTTGATCACGTATTTACGGTGGTATCCTCTGTAGACTAGACGCAACCCTAAAATTACGTGTACCATGACAATAAATTCCGTTTAAATTATTGACCACCCACAGGGCTGTAATACAGTGTCGCGGTTGGGTTATATATAG